GGTCACATTTCAAATCGTTCAAAAGTGTTGTAACTTCTTTATGTTCTTTTTCTGATAAACAGGATATGTCATGGGAAAGAGTATCTTGTGTAGATAGTAATGGTAAATCCAGTTTCAAAATGGACTGGGTTCCAAAAACCAACTAATCTCGCAATCTGTGTCGGAGCAGCTATGGAGGAATCATCAGACTTCGGTATGTTGATAGTGTCTGTTCCAGGCACATAATAAGAGACATCTCTCAGCTTCAAGACATTCAAAACTTTAATTGAGGGTATGTGTCCTTTACGGGAAGGAAGAAAGAAAAGATCACAAATGGGGACCGTATTTAATAGCGTGTTGAATTTTGAATATGTTAACTTCGTTCCGAAATTGATACATGGTTGAGGTTGTATACGTTGTTCTGCGTGATGTTCTCAGGTAATTTGGATGCAACTTCAATTGTTGGCTTACGGTTTGAATTTTCTCGATACTCCTGAGTTTTTTCTGAAAATGATTCGTTACAAAGTCTAATTTTTTTGTTTAAATTTTGGCATTAATTTTATTTCCTTTCTTCCCTATGCACAAATTTAAGGGGGAGAAAACAAAACAAAACAAAAAAAACTATAAAATCAAAAAATTTCCAAAAATATGTATTCTTTCGTAAGTGTTCTTGGCAAGTGATATAAAGTTTAGTGTTAAAGGGCAATCTATAATATGTGTAATGCACTGAACCTAAATTGTTTAGACTCTATGTTTAATGTGCTGGTAGGCACGAAGGATTCAAAATGTAGGGACTAAACATTGTTGAAAATCAAAGTACTTGATAGTGTTAACTTATTTGGACTTAGATAGTTACATTTGGACTGACCATACGATGCTTGTATAGATTGAGCAGTGAGATAAACAAGGGAGCCTGCGAGATACATTAAAGTTACTTATCATCTAGAACTATGGCTCAACACTTCTTCGACGTACAGACTTATATCCTTAACTCTAGTGCTGATAGGGTGACTGGGGGGTTTTTTATAAAGTAGGTCTGTGTGAAATTGTTTTTCTTTCTTATCCTCTATGTCAATCATATGTTTCCCCCTTTGCGTGATTTGAAGAGATCCGACCTAGCACACAACATATGCATCTCTATTTCAATGCATCTATCTATCTATGCATCTCTCTATCTATCTATGTTAGTCATATGCTCTCAATTCTGTGTGATTAGAAGAGATCCAACTTGGGACACAGCATATGCACCTTTCTATCTCTTTATCCCTCTATCTATGCTAGCAATATGTTATCCCTCTGTGTGATTGGAAGAGATCTGACATGGGATACAACATATACATCCCTATATCTATTTTCCCTCTCAAATAATTCAATACTCACATAAAGTAAAGAGCTCTTTGGAATTCTTTGATTGCTAGGGTATGTCGTGAAGTGGGGAACACGTTCTAGTGCACTTAAAATTGAATTGGTGCATGACTAAAGGTTTACTATAGATCTTGCTACTGAATTTAAGTGGACAACAATATCATTAGTCGTCGTCAGTAAAATGGTCTATTTAGGAATATAATCGCAATGTCTTCTCACTTATAATTTGTCCAACTTGCAAATATCCTTTATGTTTAAGTGGACCACAATATTGGTGATTGACCAGAGTTATCAATGCAGGTATGTGCTGATAAATGATATTAAATTGCTTGACAACTTTTGATCCCAAAAGTTTTAAATTTAGTTATTAAAACGTGTTTGTTTTATTTTATTTTATTTTTGTTTCTAAAAATTTTCTTTTATTTTATTTCTATTTTAATTTGCATTCATTTCAAATTTTAAAATTTAGTTTTATTGTATTTCCAAATTTAAGGGGAGAATTAAAACCAAACAAAAATCATAAAATTAAAAAAAAAAATCAAAAAATATGTTTATTTCTATTTTTATTTCTTTTTCAAAAAAATAAAAATTCCAAAAACATTGTTTTGAGCATATTTTAATTTTATTTTTATTCATAGTTGTTTTATTGTGTGCTAAGTTTTATTTTTATTTTTATTTTTATCTCAATCTCATTTTTCCTAAAACGTGAATTCAAAAGAAAAAAAGACTCAAGGAGATTGTATCGGAATTTTTTGAGCAAGGAGAAGAAACTTGGAAAGGAATTGACGGTCATTACACTTCACACTACTTTCAGAAGGAATTGAAGGCTTGAAAATGTACAAACTATCAGTTAGGCAGTATCTTTCTAAGAACTGTCATATTTAAGCCAAGGTTGGGTCCTTGAACAACTATGGTGAGAACGGTCTTTATGACTCTGTGACCTACAGGGACTTTTTGGTCATGGTTACTTTTCAAGACACATCTGTGATCATTAAAGAACATTCATTCGGAGGAACTAGTAGTGAAGAATATTTTTCAACACATTACCTTTCAACCCCAGAAGCAAGGTGAAGCTGTATTTTAAGTTATGTGACAAATTGCATTGAAGCCTCCTTAATCAATTTGCTTTTATTTATGAACTTGCTGAAGTGATCCAAATGAATCGGTCTCTCTGTAATTATATGTAAAGTATTTCAAAGCTAAAAGTGCTGATTTACAATAACCTATACAGGAAGCCTCTATACCCAATGTGCATTCAAAGTCAAATTTTTCGAAGGAAGTCCAATTGTTCAAGATAAATTCATTCATGTAGAAATTCATATGTTCATCTTGAAGTTGTGAAGAAATCGAAGATAAAAGCTGAAGAGAACAAAGAGAATATTAAAAAGAAAAAAAAGCTATAAACCAATGAGGAGATTGTTAGGACATGATTTGTGGTTTATCCTTTACTTTTGGTAGCTTTTAGAGTTCTCGGTCTAGGACCGAAAACACCATGTTTTCAGTGGTGTTTGGACCAAAATCACCATGTGATTTCGGTGGGCTTAATGAGTTGGGCCTTTGTAATTAGGTCTAGGTATATATATATATATATATATATATATATATATATATATATATATATATATATATATATATATATATATATATATATATATATATATTGTTGTTTCAGCCTTGAAAAAAGGTTGGTCATTCTAAGAAACTTAGTTCGAGTTTTAGAGAAAAAGAGAGAACCGAGAGCAATTCGGAATCTTATGTACTAGACTATTATCAATATAGTGTGCATTAAATATTGATAACTATGTTCTTAATTCATAATAAATGTTTTGTGTTAAATATTAGACTGGGATTCCGCACCAATTCTAGTGATTTCGATTGATACTATATATCGGGTTTTACAACTGTCTTATCATCATCGTTTTCTGGTCCAATGACCTGGTTATCTCTTGCTGGTTCAACGATAATATTCAACAAAAAAACTAAGGTTGTTAATTTCCAAATGACGAACAACAAGTCGTGAAAGCTCCCCAAGAAACAGATTGCTCAAATTATGAAGCTACCATACTCAGGTACTTTTTATGAGGTTACGAATGAACAGGTTCTTCATATGTTCAACGAGATGGGTCATCAACCTGTTTTTACTGGGATTAGTCTATTTCGCAAATCCATTCTTGCCTGTGTTTGGAATTTTCTCTTTGGTATCATACTATGATGCCTGACTAGTCGTAGTCCAGTGTTAGATAATGTGAACTTGGAAGTTTATGCGATGACTGTTGGTATTTATTGTGATTTGAATGTTAATTATGTTACTCAACTTTGGGAGGAGTTTGGCACGGCTATTACACACAATAATGTGTTGAATGGTGTTTCTTGTGCATGTTACTGGAGTCTAATCCTCAAGGAAGTTTATAAGAAGGAAGGGATTTTGGTTCCCTCAGAAGATGAAAAGTTGAATTCTCGACTTTGCAGGCTCCAAAACTGGTTGTTGATGATCCAATCCTTTTCCAAGTGTTTCTCTCATTCCAGATCTGATATTAAGGCAAATTGATACTGCAAACCCAGTACTTATTCAGCATTTGGCATCCATTAATACAAATGTTTCTGTTGGAGTTCTTTTGCCAAAAGGGGTTGAGGATTCGTCGAAGGTTGTTAAAGCACCAAATAAAAAGAAGCAGACTGTGCAACCAAAACCTATTCAAGAACATGTGGAGGAGGAAGTCTCTAAGGAAGTTATTCCTTCAAAGATTGGCATTCTCAACCGCACTAAGAAGCTAGCTAAGAGACCTCATTATTCTCCTATAAGGCCATCAGTTTCTGAACCGGAAGTTGATACCATTCCACAACCCTAACATGAGTCTTTTCATACTCATTCTTCATTAAAGGGTACAAAGAAGATTCATAAACCTCAGATTAACAGACAAGGTGTGCTATTTTGATACGTTCCTATTCCTGTTTCACTTGTTTCAAAGAAACGTCAAGCCTAAGAAATGGTTCAAAAGATTAAAAAGAAGAAGAGACAACTTGAACACCCACTTGACAAAGTCACTATAGAAACAGATCATTAAAGTGACATCATAAGATCTGATATTCACATTGATGACTCTAGGCTAGGTCACCTCGAAAGGATTCTCCTGTTTAGTCAATTTTCGATGAGACAGGAAACCCTGGTGAAAATGTAAACTTATCTAATATAGATACAAACACCAATTCGATTGATCCTCCATCTACATCCATCCCCGAGAAGACCATGGTCATACCACCCGAGGTTTTGCAAACTGAGTCCTATACGGAGGAGGTTCGAACCATAGACATCAATGTGAACATATCTGATGAGACATAAATGTCAACATAGGGGAAAGGGTGTTGAACAACAAAGCCTTTTGTACCTCCACTCTGGAAACATCTATTATTTCTACATCACTCATACTTTCATTAACCATCGAAACCTCAATCTTTAACACATCAACTTTGTTACCACCATCTCACCAACTTATTCCACCATAATGCATAAATCCATTACTACTCTTTTCTCTTCGCAATCCGCAGAAGCTGAGAAGATAGTTCAAGACGATGAACCAAATATTGATGACATCATGGTTTCTTTTGATGACTTGCAATTCAATCCATAGGAAGATAATGTTTCAGATAACTTGATAATGCCAGGTAAACAATTCAAGATCCTCAACAACAAACTCAATTCTCTTTTACAGATCCAAGCAGATAATAGGGGTCGAAATTTCGTTTTTGGGTTTGAAATGGAGTACATGTTAAAGTCTCGAGATAATCGTCTTAGAATTTTGCTAGAAAATATTGAGAAGCAACAAGTTGAAAGGCCGGAAGTTCATGCCAATCGTTTTGATTACGAGATTCAAAAGCTTAGTGATGTTGCTAAGGAGTATCATGAACTTTTTTTTGAGAAAGTGAATACTACGAAAGATTCTATTGATCTCAAGATGGCTGAACTTAAATCAGAGATGGCCAAAGAGATTAAGAAGATAGAGAAAAGTTGTTTTGTTCTTCATAGAAAAGTTGATGTTGTTGCTGATGCTATTGCAAAGCTTGTTTAATATAATACTGATTATTTGACATAGCCTTATGCGAAGACATAAAGGACTCCCAAGTATATGTAAAGTTGGAGGAATTTCTAAGTAGTATCAAGGAATCTATTTCAAAATCTTCTCTTTCAAATCAATCTTCTATTTCCTAATAATCAATTTCTCAGTTGATTTCGTCTATTGAGGCTAATCTCAAAGCGGAGCTTGCTCCCGTCCTTAAGTTGATTCTTCTCTTACCAACTAATTCTCCACCTGCTAAAGCATGTGTCACAAGAGGGAGAGAAAGGATGTGTAGGTGTCAGATCTTTGAAAGATACAAATAAAGGAGCGGCTGTTGGGAGGGTGATGTCCACTCAAATACCCACTTCACTTCCAATTTCTCTAACAATAACCTAAACAAAAATCACAACAAGACCTATTATGAAAGGGGTTATTATAAGTGAGAGTGTTGGAGGTTCTGGTTCGAGCTCCATACCACCTCCTTTGAAAGACAATCAGGGTGACAAAGGAAAAGGTGTTTTGGTAACTCCTTCAGAAGAAGAAAATAAGAAGCAATAAGCCTTGGAAATGGAAAGGAAAAAGGCAAGTCAAAATCATATTGAGGAGAATGTAGAATGATCCACCAGGCTTAAACAAGGGTTTTCCCAACAAGAATTAGTGTTATGAAACTATTGAGGAAATTGTTTCAATTGGGAAGTTTGAGTACTTTCACAAAGTACCAAAGAAGAGTTATAAGGTTGAGAACTCTGATTTTAATCAACTTGATTTCCCAATAAATCATATGATGTACATATATTCTCAATTCAAGTTAATCGATTACTTAAATAACAAAGCAGAATACAAAAGGTTGAAGATGCGATTTCATGCAGTCTTCGGGAAAAGTGTAGAGGAGGTGTGGTCATCTGTGAAGATCATAAAAGTGATGTCTATTTCACGTGAGAACTTGTTCGAAGCCATACTACATAATTTTTTATGTGGTTGTTAGAGCGAATAATGTGGTCTGTGAATTTTTTATTGTTGATTTCCCATTGATGGACATAAATGACTTGATCACTGTGACAAGGATTTTAAGCAATGCGGATGTTATGAAGCTGACATAGAACAACAAGGATGATTTTCTTATTGGATTTGCTCATATCAAGGTTTTCATTGATAACTATTATGATTGCCTCACAATATGTGATATTGAGCTGGTTATGGCTGTCAACAAGAGTTTGAAAGTTCCCTAATCCTTGCTGAAAGGGAATATCAAAATTGATGAATTTGAATATGGGGAAATAATTCATCAGCATGTGGGAGTGGTGTTTCGTGAAAAAAAACAAGAACGGGAGGATGACGAAGTTTCTGTTTCAAGTATGCAATGTAGAGAGGTATACTAATTCCCAATATATAAGCCTTCTTGTTCGAATCAACAACTGCAAAAGGAATGAAGTAGTTAACAAGGCTAAAATTCAAAAGAGAATACTTTGGTATATAGAGATTCGCGGTGTATGTGACATCCCCATTTTCATGGCCAGAAAAGACTGGTTTTGTTTATGCTTGTTTGAAAATCAGAGTAATATTTTTCATAAAAGTGTTGCGGAATTTGTTCCCAAAATAAAATATAATAAAGATTTATCAAAGCATTTCTGTAGAAATGTATTTCATTAAAAAGACTCGAGATGTCATGTTTGATACAAATCAAAAGCATAAACAGGACAATATAAGCCTTACTACATTATTTCATATCTACAGGCTTATATTTGTAATCCCTCATCCAAAACATCACATCTATGCTCGAGCGCCACTACTTGTAATACATGAAAATGAGTGGGTTAGGCTTGGGAGCCTGGTGAGAACATAGAGTTTTCAACCCACAATAAATAAGTTTATTAATTTCATCAACCAACAATAACCCGATTACCCATTCTCATTATCCTCACATTACATCCCTAAAACACCTATCATAAGGGACCTAGACTAAGGATCAATCATCGGGATGGACACTAATGCTAAGGGGATTCCTCAACAATAAATGTCCTTAAGGCAAACATGTGGAGGATGGAGTAAACCAGTGAACACATCGTTCAGAAACACCTACAGGTTGCGAGCCTGCTAGCGTTCCACTAGACTGTCTAGAAGAGTCCGTGGTTGTCATCCATACTCCCCTAGATGACAGAATCAACAACAACAATATTGAGGCCTCTCATCATTTTATCACACATCGTCTTTGTACATCTACCCATGTTATACCCCAACATTTTTGTAGATATAAAATACTTATACAGTTTAAATCATTTAAAACATGTATAAAATCATTCATCCAGCATAGACAACAAGTATTCAGATAATATGCACACTTAGCATGTAATTTATATATAATACTTCATATCTATGTGTAAGATGAATGTAACTATGCACTCACCTATCAAGGTAGTGATTCCGAACTTGGACAACGCTTCATTACTCTTGAAACAATATCCTTCGTCAAAACCTAGTATCATTACCACTAGGGTTTAGTCTATCATTCATCGAGACTAATTAATAGTCTAGCTATTAGTACTATTATATAAGCATTAAACAATACTTATATAACCCATAATAATAGCCCAAGTACTTATTATAAGTTCCTAATAACGTTACTATAATTAATTAGAAGCTATATTAAAAATAGCGTAGGCATAGCTCACTTACAGCGGGTATTCTCGAAAACCGGGCTTCGCTTGGAGCAGCGTTTCCGAACCGAAAGAACCTTTTTCTCGAGACTCCGGGAGCCTCGGGGCTTCCTTCGGGTGCTAGGGGTTTACCTAGGCTTAGGAGGTTTAGGAGCTTGAGAGAGAGTGCAAAGAGCGATAGAGAGAAAGCTTTGAAAGGTGTGCGAGGGTTAGCTGCCTTCACAGCCTTTTTATACGCATCCAACTTCGGTCTATGCTAGGCGTTCCGAACTGGTACGCGGCGCGTTCATCGGATAAGGCTTCCAGGTGGCCAGCTTCGTATGGTGCGACTTGGAGGTTTGTAGTCCGAGTAATGCAGTTGTACGCTGGGCATTTCGAGCTCGGACAACGGGTGTACCGAGGGCCAGGTGTCTGAATCCGAAGCGAGTACCCTGATCGTTAACGGAGGGTTGGGATCGCGCCACGTCATCGCTCTTGCCACAGATTTCGCAAATTCAAGTACCAACTTCAAAAATTCATATATTGTGCATACGAGTTCCGTTTTTGACGTTCTTTATATCCACGCGTAGGCGGGAACGTACTCTACAACTTTCATTTAGACTCTGTCGGCTAATTTTGACTTTAATTTAAAAGTTATATTATTAACAGGCCGGGATAGGAGTGGTCCGTTAAAAATACATAACTTCTTCATCCGACGTCCATTTTCGTCTGTCTTTTTATCGTTACGCTACTATTAACGAGATATTCGATTCTCGTTTAGGTTGTGTCGGCTAAAAACCGCTCGATCTAATATTTGAATTTCGGGTTGTACATTGCTAAGCTGAAACTTCGAAAATTCATAACTTCCTCATACGAAGTCAAATTTTGCCGTTCCTTTTATGGATGCTCTCGATTTAACATATTCTATGACTTTCATTTAGATTGCTAAGGCTAAAAGTTGCTCTATCGTAAACTCACTATTTACGCTTCCCGGTGTTGCGTCGGTTCCATCACGAAACTTCGATGGGTCATAACTTCTTCGTTATAACTCGGATTTTGGCGTTATTTATATCCCCGAAATCCTTGTTTCGACCACTACAACTTTATGTAAAGATATCAGGTTTATCTCATACTTTAATTTTGATGCTTATTTTTATCCTTTATTAATTATATCTTTATAATTAAGTTATAAGCACACAAATACACATAATTCTCATAGTATTCAAATATTTCATCTTTATTACTTCAAAAAGAGTTATAATAGTTAACCTAGACTATTACATCGTCTCAAAATGTTTAGCCCTGAACCCGGGCGTTACAGTGTACTTCTTCAGACTATGAATCTAATGGCATGATTTTGTCTTTTCTCACTAAGGTGGAGATTGTAGGGTGCGAAATGTATATTGAGAAGTCGAAATTAGTGTAATTCTATTTGAGAGCGAAGTCATGTACTTTGAAATGTACATATTTTGCAAGGCACCTGTTGATGTTGAAGTCCAATATATAGTCCTTACATATTTTTTGTGCATCTGTATCACTCTATAAATAGAGTAAGTATAGGGGTAGAAAGTAACTTTTGAAGTCTTCATCTTTTTATTCTCTCTAGAACTCATGTACTCTTACAGATGATTAATGAGCCAATAAGATATTATTTATGTATCATGTTCTTATTACTTTCAATGATTGATTACGTGTTCATAACTCGATTTAAGCACTCTTCAACCTTGAATAAGGTTGACCAAGTTTGAATTAAGGGTATTTTGGATATTTTGAGCTATAGTTAGGCCTTGGTCTTTATCTATTGAATAGGTGACTTGTAGAGCCGGTATTCGAAGAAGTGCATTGTTCAGTTATTCGTCAGACTGTGAGGTGAGTTTCACATCAATGTACAGTGGCTCAAAGGCACTGATGTCAGTCTACTGGTTTCAGTTATCTGTTAGTAGAAGGATGCCTTAGGGACTGGATATAGTCATGTAGGATAGACTGAGGACTCTTGATCTAGGCTTTCTTGCTTGGTCCTCATTTGGTTGTGGCTCTAGAGTAGGATCACCTGTCCGGGTGTCTATCTCACCTCTGAATATATATATGGTTAAGTATTCCTTTGATTGTTTGTATTTAGTGTGTTGCTATGTTGTAGCAATCTATTAGATCTGTATCCTGGTATATAGGATTTTGTTATGTTGTAGTGATCTATTAGATCTACATATTTATATTTTAGCTGTTATATGTGTATTTGTTTCATATGTAGACATATTGTGTTGGGTTGAGGTTATACTTCTTTGTGTTGTATCCAACATACCTGAGAGCATTCCAGATATGGGTTAAGGCCCGATTGGCATGCCAGACTCATACCGAGGGCTCAGAAGCATTCCAGATACGATTTGAGGGTCCAATTGGCATACCAGACTTGTATTGAGGGCTCAGGGGTAATCCAAATTTATGTTGAGGACCTTGCAGGGGTATTCCAAACATAGGATGGAGACCGAGTATATGTTGTTATATGTTGTGAGTTTGGTACTGTGGGGGGAGTCACTAAGCTTTGGCTTACAGTTTTAGTTTATGGCATCAGGTACTTCTAAGGATCATGGAAAAACAAAGGTGTGATCATGCACAACTTCCTATTTTTATGGCATTGGGTCTTGGGATAACTTTGATTTTGAAATAATGTTTTTGGAAACAATGAATCTTTTGTAAAAAATGATGTTAAATGGTTGATTTTGAAATTTTAAAATGTCTTTGATTTTTAGGATGTTACAAAAATGGTCGTGTTAAGAAATTCTATGACAATGAGGGTGCAGTCGTCATGACTAAAGAATCCATATCTCACAAGCGTTCAAGGCACATACTCATAAAGTATCATTACATCAGAAAGTTTGTTGAAGAGGGAGAAATCATAGTCAGCAGAGTCACGTCGAAAGAAAACCTTGCTAATATGTTCACCAAATCATTGTCACAGACCAAACATGATTGTCATACGAGGTCAATAAGTATCATATTTGCAAATGAATTTTTTTGAATGTATTTAGTTTCGTTTGATTTATTTTGGGAACTTATGCAGTGTAAAACTTTATCTGATTTGGTAGTTATTTTGTAAAGATCTTAATATATGCATGGTGTAGTCATTTCATTAGTTTATCATTGTGTTCTAACTTTGCATGTTTTGCTTAACTTCATGGATATTAAACTATTTAAAACCTCCACAATTGGTCATACTTTTGGAAGTAAGTAGTGATTTAAGACTGTCATGAGGTATTAGTAGATTGTCCATGGAGGTGGATATGACATGAAAATGTGACTAATACTCATATTTACTTAATGAGGATTAAGTACTGCAATAACTCACACTTAGAGATTACTTCATGGAAATACTCACGAGTAATTATAAGATGGTAATATCTAATATTCTTCGGGGATGCATGAGATTCTTGTTTTGCAGTTTGTTATGTTTTGGTGTTCTCCAACATTGTCCATAATTAATAGCCATACATGGAATGTGAAGGTATGTCATGAAGTGTAGGTAAGATCTATAAAGACAAAGTTTATTTGTTTATTCTTATCTAATGGGATAAGATATATCCCCCGACCTCTTAATTATTTGGTGATGACATAAAATATATGGTCATACTTAGACTAGGTTGATAATGGATCAATAGTGTGGTTTAGTGTTGGGCATTACAAATCTCTATTAGCAAATATAATCTTGAATGTTTGATTGACATACTTCCATGTCTTACTTTCATATGGATATCTTGATAATAAAGGAATATTTGATCACTTACTAAAGATTATTCATCCTTATAGATTATAAGTACGATTGTAGGTTTGGATGACATATTCCTTTCTAGTGGGAGACTATTGGAAATATACCCATGGTCATACATTAGCAGGGTCCTTTTCGGTTACACATAAGATATGATTTAAACTAAAAGAGAAAGATGAGGGATTAGTTTGTTAACACACCAAAGTTATTGTGATTTAATTTGAAACTAGAAGAGCACAGCGATTTAAGTGAAATATCCTTGAATTGATTGGAATCCCCATAAATCAGTGGATATGAAACTATGTCAAAAATAAGGGATTTAAGTAGAAAACTCTTAACCTTGGTCGTGACTTGCAAGTCTTCGACCTCTCTCCCCTCTCTTAGACGATTTATCTCTCTCATCCCCCTTTTGCTCACACAGTTTAGCACACAACCCTTCATAGGGTTCGGTTTTTTTCTACAAGAAAATAAGATCATGTCAAGAGCTAAGTCATTTATATTGGTGTGGGACTTCATCAAAGGAACTATGGTTTGGGTTCCAAATCATCAAACAACATCAAAGAATAAGTTTAATTCAAAGTCTACAATGGTATGTTTCCATGCTTTCTTGTTAGTTTTTGTTGTAAAGTGCTCATAAATCCGTAATCCTTTATGGGATATGTTGAGTTTACGCTTTCAATGGCTTTGTGACTTTGTTTTAATTTCTACACATATTCCATCCTTTCAATCTACTTATTTTTCACATAAAATTACCTTTTAAACCTTCTTAGTTTCCACATATGCAATTGTGAAACAAATTCACAATCATCTCACCTTGATTTTTATCGAGCTTAAACTATGAACCCATGGATGTTTTGCAATATATTCTTCATTATGAGTGGCTTCTACCCTAATCATACCTCTAGTATCTTACTAGTTCGTATATGCAGTCGTTGTTCCATTTGAAGAACCTAATTCTTGTTCTTATTTGCATTTGGTATTTTATTTCATGTAGCCCCCTTCATGTTCTTATGTGCATTATGGTGTTCCATTTTGAAGAACCCCTTTTTACACACACATAGACACACAAACACACAAACATTGTTCTTGAATTTAAGTGAATTAATATTGTCTTATGTTCTTGAGTTATGGAATCGATAAGAACACCTTCATCCCCATGTTTTTAAATTTACGTTCACTATTTATTTGTTCACTGAAAAATATATATTGACCGGACACTCACCGGAGATGTCAAAATCATTGTCACCCGGTTAAATTTGTAATGGTTGGTCAAAATGATATTTTATGAATGTAACAAAACAAAAAATAATAATAATAATTATAAAAATAATAAAATAAAAAAAAAAAAAGCCATGTACAAGGATCATGAATTGTTACCATGAAATCACTAACCTTCATAATCCATATAACCATATTCAATTGGTAACCATTTATTTGTTCTTTAGCACATCAATACCAAAAATGGTATTTCTAGTATACTAAAAATGTAATCATCAACAACTTTTCTTGTTATCAGAAATAACTCACCAAATAAATATGCAGTTACACATGCGGACATAAATTTACGTCCCCTAAATGAAAAGAAAACTTATTTTAGGGATAAAAACAACAAAAACATAAATAGAGAGGAACGTCATGATAACACGCCTTTTGACAAAAATCCAAATCGGTCCCTCTGAATCCAATTGTTCCACCAGAAAAAGCTTTTCTCTCTCTCTCTCGTCCTTTAACGCGTTCACGCGTAAATGGGTGGCGACTATATAACCTCCGTCGTCTCCTCCATCTCCTTCAGCAGGTGCAGACGAAAGCTTTCTTCCCTGTTCCCGGCATCTGTTTCTAGACCCTGTTCTTCGTTTTCAGGGAAATAGCCAAATAGGAAATAGAACAATATCCAGTTTGTTTTCTTTCAAATTTGTTCCGACAAAAACGATTTCCAGCTTGTATAATTACGGATATATCTGAAATTCAATCGAGAGTTTATCTCTTTATAGATACCCAATCGATTATTTAAAGATGCCGCAATTGGATGAACAACTGTTTCCATCAACCCCAGGTAAAATTAAGATCGAGCGTGCCCATCATCATTACACCATGAACAGAGCGGTTCACCGGTGTTTCACCTCCACCAGCACGATATTTCTCTGGGCTTTGTTTTTGGTAGCTCTAATGGCGTCGTATATGAGCATCCAAAGCTTCGTTGATTCAAGTAGCAGGTATCTCCACCACACAACGTCGCGAGGTCATGGTGGCATTGGTGGGCTCCTTTGGGAGAAACAAATCCGTTCATCGGCTCAGATCCGTCGTTCTAATGGTATGTCCGTTCTCGTTACCGGCGCAGCCGGTTTCGTCGGAACACACGTCTCCCTGGCGTTGAAGAAACGCGGCGACGGCGTTGTTGGTGTTGATAACTTCAACGACTATTACGACCCATCGTTGAAAAAGGCACGACGTGGTCTTCTCGATTCACACAACGTCTTCGTCGTGGAGGGTGATATCAACGACCGGCAACTTTTAGCGAAGCTCTTCGACGTGGTGGCGTTTACCCACGTTATGCACTTGGCTGCGCAGGCCGGAGTCCGATACGCCATAGAAAACCCACACTCATACGTCCATAGCAACGTCGCCGGACTGGTCACGCTTCTTGAACAATGCAAGTCAGCCGACCCACAACCCGCCGTCGTATGGGCCAGCTCCAGCTCTGTCTACGGGTTAAACGATAAGTCGCCGTTTTCCGAATCCGATAGGACCGACCAACCGGCGTCTCTTTACGCCGCCACAAAAAAAGCCGGTGAAGCGATTACACATACATACAACCATATTTACGGGTTATCAATCACCGGACTGAGGTTTTTCACTGTTTATGGTCCGTGGGGACGACCGGACATGGCATATTTCTCTTTCACCCGGAATATTCTACAGGGGAAACCGATAACTGTCTACAGAGGGAAGAATCGGGTCGATTTGGCCCGGGATTTTACATATATTGATGATATTGTGAAAGGTTGTGTGGCGTCGTTGGACACATCTGGTAAGAGTACCGGGTCGGGTGGGAAGAAGAGAGGAGCGGCGCCGTACCGGATATTTAATCTTGGAAACACGTCGCCGGTGACGGTGCCGACGTTGGTGAGTATACTGGAGAAGAATTTGAAGAAGAAGGCGAAGAAGAACGTGTTGGAGATGCCTGGAAACGGCGACGTTCCATTCACACATGCAAATATCAGTTTGGCCCGAAGGAAACTCGGGTATAAACCGACAACCGATTTGCCAACCGGGTTGAGAAAATTTGTTAAATGGTATTTATCGTATTATGGCTACGATCAAGGAAAGCCTGTAAATTTTAAATAGCTTTTATTATCTTTTAAATCTTTTAAATTAGAATATTTTGTCAATTATTTTTCTTTTTTATTAGCTTTTTAGGGAAAAGAAAGAAAAGAGAGATATTTGTTTTTTCTTTAACAAAGGTGAAAGAGAAATCTTATCCTGGTTAAATTTTGTTTTTTATTTGTATCTTATAATTAATGAAGTATGAAATGGTGTTTTGCATCTTTGATTTTCTAGTTAATTCGATATTTATGTTTTGAACATCGATTAATTTTTAAACATGTATTCTGAAATTATCGTATATTTGTTCTGAAATTGTTTTATGAACTGTCTTACAATAAAGAAAAAATATATATATTTTTTTGTAAATTTTTAACCTACTAATAAAGCATTTTATAAAAATATTATATTGTAAATTAGTTGCAAAATTAACGGTTTTTTTATTGTTATTGGTTTAAAGATGCTTATCTAATACTAAAACTTTTGATATTTTAATGGTTATCTATTTATCTCTTTATTATTTTAATGATTATCTTTTTTTATTATTATATATTATTATATGTGGAGGCCTATAATTTCTTATTTCAAGTATGTATGCGCACGACAAGAGTGACAAGTTTTATAAAATTCAACTTTTTATAAGATGATTAATGAATAAAGAAGAAATATATAAGGGCCAACTCTGTAACTATAAATTCAATCCGAAAATTGGAATTTAACATTGGCATAGACATGTTATAGCAAACTAATCATTTTTAGTTTTGTTCGTGTGTGTAAAATAGTATAACCTATGTAATGAAAAAGGGGATGAAACAAGTTTACACGTTTGTATAAAGGAATAACGGGATTGTATAATGTACATTAAAAACAAAACTTTTAGCTACAGTAATTTACAGAGAGTGAAAGTAGTTTGCATTTTATATATATTTATAATTTATTTAATACCTTTAGTATCCAAATTTGAGCAATTCTCTAAATTCTGAGTTCTGAACAACAGTCCATTTTACTAATAAAAACCTTTCTATCGTATAACGTTAACAAATAAGGTGATGCTACAGAAACAGTTATTTGTGGGGACTAATTTTGTAAGGATAAGACGCGGGAGGGGTAGGTGTGTTCATTTATTAAAGTTTACAGCAGAGACAGCAAATAGATTAACTGCATTATTAAAGGTTGTACATTTTAGGGAAATTGCAAATTAGTCCAATATAGTTCTCTTATATTACGAATTGACCACTGTAGTAATAAAGTTCTTGTTTTGTCCACCGTAAAGACTTCACTATACGCTTCATGACAGTGATGTGGCGACGAGCTGGAGGATGACACCACCGTGCACGCCACCATGGCGTGGCGTTGTGTTGAGTTGTAGCCGCGAATGTGACCTTATGTGTTTTGCACCACCACCCTTCCCCAAGTGTTTTGTCTATTTGCAGAGATTGTGGTCTATATGGAAAGTTACTATAGTTAATTATTAACATAACTATTTAGACTGTTATTATAAACCTAATAATTTATCTAGTTTATTGAAGCACTATTATTGATAAATAACTACCTATTATTAACCTAACCATTTATCTAGTTTATTGAAGCACTATTAATGCTAAATAACTACCTACTTTAAGGCATTCGATATGAATTAATACTACATTTCAGAAGATTTCTTTGCATTTCGGTCTATAGTACTTCACTTAATAATAAAAATTAAACAAATACAAGGAACCAAGAACTTACCCGTAAAAGCTTAAACTCATCGGAATCTTATGTGATTTTTATTTTTATTTTTTGTAAAATTTGTCTGAAAAGATGAAGCTATTTTGGTGCAGATTTCGTATTGGCATTAGTGGCCATTTAGTCCAGAGGCCAATGCGGAATGAGTTGGGTCAGTTTACTCAACTCCGAATGACATGTTCTTGACTAATCGGTTATTTTACAATATATATATATATATATATATATATATATATATATATATATATATATATATATATATATATATATATATATATATATAAAAGGCTAGGTTTTAATGTGGATGATAAGTATTATGTAGATGTAGGGATGAATATGGATCAAGAATTTAAAATACATATTATAATAGAATACATATTCTATTCGAATTACCATTTTGAATAATAACAAAATTTTGAACTATGAGTTGAAGAGTAACAACATTCTAAAAGAATATTTATCTATTATTATTATTATTATTAAAGAATCTAAGGTTCAAAAATAAACAAAAAAACAATTTTTACTATCACATTCTATAAAAATATAATGTCATTTTTTGCATTTTTGCCACATTCTATAAGAATACAAGGTTTATAGTAAGTCATTCTTGAAAACAATCTTCATTTTAGAATACAATTCCTCAAAGAATCTGCATTCTCATTCTTGCTTCATGCTGTTATATTTTGACATTTTGGTGTAGTGAATCTCAATTCTCATGAAATTGTCTCTTAATTTCCATCCACCATTGTTGTTCCAAATAATTTTGCTACATTCCGAGTGGTCATGAAAAAAAAAACACATACAAAAAATGAAGTTCAAGAATATAAATGCATACAACTTGTTGCCTCAATATACATCATTCTTGATACAAACTTTTTCTTGACCGGTTGAGATTCAAAATGTCATTCTTGAAGAAGAACATTCTTCAACTATCATTTTAAGAAGATTTGAAGTGCATCTTATAGAATAACATGTAAAACAAATTATGAAATGATCAATTAAGCATACTGTTAACCAAAATACTCACAGGTAAAACGAATCTAGAATTACAGGAAGAAAACTTTGATAAATTGAATTGACAAAAAAACAAAATTAAAAAACGCAGATTTAGATTGAGGGATCGAACAACATACCGATTTTGTGGAATCGAGAACTTACTTGGGAAAAATCGATGATGGCTAAGAGAATAGGGTCGGCTGAATCGATGAGGCACACAGTGGTCAGGAGGGCAGCAGCCTCCTTCGCATCTCCCTAGATCGTGTGTTGTTGCTGCTTGCCTTAACCCTCTCGGATCAGCCTTCTCCCTTCTCTTCACATTTGATTGCCGGAGCAGACCTTGCGCTGCTTTTCTCCTTCGGCCTCGCCAACCCCGGAGATGATGACCTCCCCTCTTCCCTCTGTCTTTTCAACCTCTTCAAACCCCGGAGACGATCTCTATTAGTCACGGCAACCGGCATGGCGAACAGCGAACCTGAGAACTTCCCTCCGACGATCTTGACATCTTCAATGGAAGCAGGAGGCGATTCTGTGTTGACGATTTTGACATCTTCGATGGAAGCGGGAGGCGATTTTGTGGGTGTGGATGAAATAGGCAGTAGGGTTTTAAATAAAGTAATTTGCCTAAATTAAAGGGTGAAAGATTTAATTAATTATTTATTAAAATTAAGTAATACTTGGCTCATATTAATCCCTACATTCACATAATATATGTTAATCCATATTTGAACCTACCTCTATATATATATATATATATATATATATATATATATATATATATATATATATATATATATATATATATATATATATATATATATATTATATTTTTAACTTAGTTAATTTTTATATTATATATATATATATATTATATATATATATATATATATATATATATATATATATATATATATATATATATATATATTATATGGTTAACTTAGTTAATTTTCATATTATTATTATTATTATTATTATTATTATTATTATTATTATTATATATATATATATATATATATATATATATATATATATATATATTATGGTTAACTTAGTTAATTTTCATTGTTTAAAGTTTGTTACCCTAACCGATGGGAGACAAAATAGAATGTTCAAGTGTTTTAGGAGTGTCCGAGACCTAGTTTGTGTGGATTTAAACTCAACCTCGATGCATATTTTTTTTAAAGAAAATTACTGAAATCGTCCTTGTGGTTTTATCAAAATTGCACGTTTGGTCCCTAACTTTTTTTTTGCACTCAGATCGTCCCTATGATTTGATTTTGTTGCATTTTTCATCCCTGTGGTTTGATTTTGTTGTATTTTTCGTCCCTTACATACATAAGTTAGGGACCAAACATGCAATTTTTACCAAACCATAAGGACGAAGAACGCAACAAAATCAAACCACAGGGACGATTCGAGTGCAAAAAAAAAATTAGGGACTAAACGTGCAATTTTGACCAAACCACATGGACGATTTCAGTAATTTACTCATTTGTTTATGGTGAAAATTACCTTCTCTTTATTTGATGTAATTAACAAAAATAGAAATGTACATTACCATTTCTAAAGTACTAGGCATAGTTTTCAAAAAGCTCATTAAGTATATTTTTCTTGCTAGAAGACTTAGATCTATTTGCATGACATTGACCTTACTAATCACATTGTACTATGTTCCAAATACAATTAACCACTTTTTAATTCAGAATTTTGAAGTAGTTGTTGAAGTCGTCAAACAATTGTATCTGAAAAATAGTTTGAAAATTAAGAGAATTTTGAAAACTCTGATATTTTATAATTTGATGATTTGTTTTATCTGAAAAAATTAGTTTGGAATTTCATTATTTTCGAAATTAGTTGTTTTCTAAATGGGGTTAGCTTATTTATTTAGATAGTTAAATAGGATGAAAAGTATTTTCGAAGTAGTTTTAATTTTGGTGTTTTGTCAAATTAAGATGTAAATAAAAGCAATTGTTTTCCCTTGCCAATCTCATTGAGAATAACAAATATATATACATGAGAAGTAGGCCAATAATACAAAAGGGTCGTATAGATCTATGAGGCTAAACTCAATACACAATGGTACAAATGATACAAAATATATATGACTAATACGCCCCCACAGTTTGAGTGGGAAATTCATGCATGCTTAAGCTGGAGCGCAAGTCGGAGAATAGAGGGAATGGGAACCATTTGGTGAAGATGTCGGCATACTGGTACCTGGAGGGAATGTGAAGAACTCGAACATGACTCGTAGCAACTTTATCCCGAACAAAGTGAATGTCAATCTCTATATGTTT